GAGGAGGGTTTACGAATTGCAAGATTGATAGAGACAGACACGCTGGGGCTACAAGAAGTTGCTTGCACGGTTATGGTTATATAGACTTGGGGAACGACGGCGAGCGAGAGGTGGTTGGGACTTTGTTCGCGCCATGCGTGGATCCGACGCGCGCAATTGTAGGAAACGCGGCTTCTTCGGAAATTGAATAGGAGTCGGATTTACATGTCGTGCCTGTTAAGTTTTGGTGAAACCTGAGTTTCAATTTGTTCAGAAGGAAAAGATTTCTGCTGCCTTGGCCGCTCTGGCCGAGCCTGTGGGCTAGCAGCCTAGCACTACACGGCTCACTTCCTTTTTTTTTCAAAGTTTCACAGCTCACTTCCTTTCCTGTGCGGTTGTGCCGTATCGGATCGGAGATGCCAGCGTCCGGACGTCCGACGACTGTCCGGACGCAACTCTCATCAGCTGTTAAACGATTCCACCAACCGTGGCGTCGTGGCCCACCAACAGGAGTCCGATCTCAGTTTGCTCGTAGTAACATAACATCGAAGCGGCATCCCTACCCTGCCCGCATAACAGAGAAGGGGAGGGCACGCGCTCGCGTTCGCGTCACCATCCCCCGACGCGCCCCCTCCACCGGTGCCCGCCGCGCCCCCTCGATAGTCTGAGAAGGATGTCAGGCAGCAGAAGGCGAGGAGACACCGAGGCGAGACAGCACATGGCGAGGAGGGAGATGCAACACCCAAACATCCAGATGTAACACCTGCAACATACATATGAAGACAGATGAAACACTTAAAACATCCATCTGAAACACTTGAAAAACACATGAAAAAACGCTTGAAACCATTGCAAACATACGCAACATCTAGATAAAACACTTGTAACATGTATGTGAAACATATGTAACATCCAGATAAATGCTCTTAAACACACGTCGAAAAAATAGATGAAACATTGAGAACATACGTTTGCAACATACATATACAACCATTGCACATATGCAACGTCCCAATCTACTTTTGAACATCCATATGAAACACTTGCAACATATCTCTAAAATATCTGCAACACTTGAAACAGACGCTTGCAACATGCACTTTCAAGTGCAACATCTACTTGCTGCTTACGAAATGGAGGCTTGCCAGCGTGTGAAGTTCACCAGAAGTAGCCGCACCATCGCCACCATCGACCAGATCGACTCTGCCTACCACGAGGCTGGCGGGGACCCCCCGCAGCTCGTGCAGCCGGCGCCGCAGTCCCCACCACCACTGGACTCTCACCGTGCAATTGATCTGGTGGAAGAGTAGCGAGCAGAGCGCGCGAGGCAGGCGAGCGACGCGAGCGGGTTGGTTTGTCCGGATGGCCGGACGCCCCGGTCTAATCATTATGATTATCAGATCAGTGCCGGGACAGGCGAGGCCATGTTGCCCATTTGTCCATCATAAGTTGAAGTGTATATGTATGTACAAGTGAATTGTTTAGATCTCCTCGGCTGCTTATACCTTGTTTTTTGCGAGCAAAGAGAGCATTATTAAGTAGGCATAGAGAAATTACAATCGGCATTGAGGAGGTTCCAAACACATGTAGGTGCTTGTCTCAAACAAACCGCTGAATCTTTACATCGTCTAGCTAACTTATACCTTTTGTTGAATAGTACATGCAGTACAATATTAGAACCAAACAACTAATACTAGTTTTGTTTCTTCAGTAACTGAGAACCTTTTTATCAATTTTTTTTGCGAATCTTAGTCTTTTATCTGTTCAATTAGTTTGTACTAGTCATTGTTCCATTATTGTACTAGCGGAAATGTGTTTATATATATATATATATATATATATATATATATATATATATATATATATATATACATACGGTAAGACTATTCTGCAGCTGGCCACAGAATAACTTATTCTATGGCCACCTTAATTTACGATAATGACAATACACATTTACGATACATGGGTTATTATAATTCAAGATGATACTTACCATAATACTATAGTAAATCACTTATGAGAGAGTTACCATAATCTCGTAAATTATTATAGTAATTATCGTAACTCAAAGTGACCATAGAATAACTTATTCTGCGGCCAGCTACAGAACAGTCCGTCTATATATATATATATATATATATATATATATATATATATATATATATATATATATATATATATATATATATATATATATATATATATATATATCAAAATCTACCTCACTCTGTGTAGTTTCTCCACTACCACCATCGTTTGCTCCTCTTCCTTCCAGGTCCATCTTCACCTTCTCCGGCGATCGAACAACAAGCCACCCACAACTCCAGAGGTCTCCTGCATCCTGGCATCCTCTCCTGCTGCCTTTGCGTCAGGCTCATCTCCATCCCCCACTTGCTTCCTCGGAGGCTAGGCCATAAATACCGCATGACATGGTCTTGACCGGCACGCGGAGGCGGCACGACCCTAAATGGTGCATGAAGGCAGAGGGCAGCATGGCCTTAGTTGGCTCGAGGTCGAGATGTCAACGGGGAATTCCCCGTCGGGGGTTACTGCCCCATCCCCGTTCCCGCAGGGGCAAATTTCCCCCGTCCCCGTCCCCGTGAAAGCTCACGGGGAGCACTTCTTCCCCATCCCCATCCCCGCATCACCCCCTCCCCCTCGGCCCGTCCCTGCTCGCCCGCGCAGTCCCCTCCCACACGGTCTCACTCTCCCCCCACCCCACTCTCTCTCTCTCTCCCTCCCTCGGTGGCCCTCCCTCCAACCATGCCGGTGACCCTCCTCGCTCCCACCATGGCGGCGCCCCTCCTCCCTCTCCCTCCAACCACGGCGGCGCGGCTCGACCATGGCGGCGAGCGCGGCCCGTCTCGCTTGGCGGCGCGCATGGGGGCGTGGATCCACCCCCACCTCCTCCCCGGCGGCGGATCTGGCCCCGACCCCGTCCCTGGCGGCGAATCCGGCCCCCAGCCCCCCACCTCATCCCCGGCGGCAGATCCGGCCCCCACCTCGTCTCCAGCGGCGGATCCAGCCCCCACCTCGTCCCCAGCGGCGGATCCAGCCCCCACCTCGTCCCCGGCGGTGGATCCGGCATCCTCCTCCCCGGCGCAGGTGGATCTGGCGGCGGAGACCATAGCACGCCATAGTTCCGCCTCGGATGCCACACTCGCCTCTGCCGCGCTCGCCGAAGTCGCCCTCGCTGTCATGCTCGCCGGAGCCGAGGCTGCCGCCGTCGCCCGTCCTCTCCCTCTGCTCCGCCCTCTCCTCTCCTCCTCTGCTCCACCTCCACAGAGCGTCGCCGAGCTCCGTCTCTCTCTCTCTGCTTCCCCTTCTGGCCTTCTCCCTCTCTACTCCGCCCTCCGCGCGGGGCGGCGCGACGGCTGGAGGATATGGATTGAGGAACGAATTAGGGATTTAGGGTTGGAATGGTGCATTATATACTCCGTGACTTATTGGGCCTTTTACATGGGCCTGGCGAGTGGCGACCCTTCTTCGTGGGGCGGGTCGGCGGGGATCGGGGTCGGGGATCAGCGAACCATCCCCGTCCCCGCCATCCCCGACGGGGACAACTTTCCTACCAAATTCATCCCCGTGGAGATTAATTTCCCTCTATCCCCGTCCCCTAATAGAAGAATTCCCCGCGGGGAATCGGGGATCGGGTCCCCATTGACATCTTTAGCTCAAGGTGGAGGGCGGAGCAGGCCCGACCTACGTGCAGATGCGGAGACAACACAACGCTGGCCGACGCGTGGGAGCGGAGGGTGGCTCATCCCTAGCCAACGCACGAAGACGGAGAGTAGCATGGTCTTGGCCGGCGAGCGCACGGAGGCAACAACAGTTGTTCAGCTGGTCTGGCCGGCCCGACCCGTTGTGTTAGTTGGGCCGACATAACACAAACTAACCAAGCTTAAGGTTGTGCCTGAGACACTTGTTGAGCCTGTGGGCTGGCACGACATAGCACGATTAATAGTCGGGCCATGCCGCGTGCGTCGGGCAGCCCATTTGGCCTTCTATAATAGCAGAGGACCATTTATACAGTTCAAGGCAATGACTATAATGGTATCGTCTACAACATTACAAACTATGGTTATATGAGAAGTAATAGATACAGAGAACTCATAATACATTTTGGTTTTGATCTCCACCATCGGAGTTCCCATCATCGAACCTATCAATGCCGGGGTTACATGAAATTGGTAGAGGCATGTCAGTGATTAAATAATCTGGCATAGTGTAGCTTAATTAGTTATCTATGATAATTTATTTGCTGATAGCCTGATACTTATTTTGGGTGAAAATGGCATCCTTATGATAAAAGCTACTGCATTTAGAGTGAAAAGACGAATCCTTTGTAGAGTATCGTTCCTTTGTTTAGTGTGAATGCAAGTGAGAGTACATAATTCATGTGGCATATTTGACCATAACACCATGGTACAATCTAATGTTGTATCTAGTCTATAAAACTGAGTTACAGTGAACATTAAGAGTGATTATTTCATTCATCCACCACCAAAACCTAAACTAATACAAAAATACCTCACTGCCGGTATTTTTGCAATCCGCGGTGGATAAAAGATATAAGAGACATCACTACTGGTGGCGGACCTAGCACTAGGGCCACTAGGGCTATGGCCCTAGTCTTAGCCCTTAATTACATTGAACAAAACACTATTTTTTCTATAGTCAAACATAAATAGCAATGATCTCTAATGTAATGGCCCTGGTCTTTGATGAATCTTGGGTCCGCCCCTGATCACTACTAGTTTTCAACTAGTAATGATAACCTTATCACTATCGATTCTAAAGCGGCCATCACTGCTAATTCCAAAAAAAAAAACAGCAGTGATACTACCGAAAAATAAAACAAAATGAAACTGACGACATGAAGCAGCAAACATAGCCATGCATATGGTTATGGCACAGTCCAACTCGACCCACAAATCACTCCAACACTCGTCGTATACTCTACCTCACAACCCTCCGACTAACCAGCAACCAATGGTAGCCAACACTGACTGCCGCGACCAATGCATGCGAGACACCTACTCGTCTCCTCCGGCTTCCTCTTGGTCGCCGCGCTCTGTGTCGTCGGCCTCCTGCCCTCGCCTGGGTGGCCACGGTCGAAGTCGTTCCCGTCTTGGCTGCCTCCTCCGATCAACAGAAGAGAGCACGACGACAGCACCGACGGCCACCCGTGCGACTATTCGGACGGACGATGGGTGAGGGACGACGCTGCCGACGTGACGACGTACACAGAGGACTGCCGGTTCCTCGACCCCGGCTTCCGGTGCACACGGAACGGACGCAGCGACTCCTCCTTCAGACACTGGCGCTGGCAACCTCATCGCTGCGTCCTCCCTAAGTAGGTAGCCCCCGCCATGCATGTCGACATCTTCTTCTTGGTTATTACCTGATCCATGTCAATGGTTTAATCAAGTTGTTAATATATCAGGTTCAACGCGACGGATATGCTGGAGCGGAGCCGGAACGGCAGGATCGTCTTCGTCGGGGACTCGATCGGCCGGAACCAGTGGGAGTCCATGGTGTGCATGCTCGCCGCCGCCGTGCCGTCGGCGGCCAGCGCGTCGGCCAGAGTGTACGAGCAGTCCGGGAAACCGATCAGCCGGCACAGGGGCTACCTCGCCATGGTTTTCGCCGACTACAACCTCTCCGTCGAGTACTACCGCGCGCCGATGATCGTGATGGTCGACCGCTTCCGGCCGGCAAACGACGCGACGACAAGCAGCGGAGGCGTGAGGGGAGCCGTCCGCCTGGACGTGATGCCACGACACGCCGACCGGTGGGCCGGCGCCAACGTGCTTGTGCTCAACACCGGCCACTGGTGGAACCACCACAAAACCGTCAAGGCGTACGTATAAATGACATTCTTGTTATCTTGGGTGCTGATCAGACACTAATTTCGGGTTGTCGTGCGTGTGGCTCATGAGCAGAGGAAAATATTTCATGGTTGGCAACCGCTTGAACAGAACCATGAACATCAAGGAAGCTTTTCGACTGTCTCTGCAAACGGTGAAAGATTGGGAATTGAGCAGTGCCCGATGTTCCAAAAGCTATTTCTTCTTCAGGAGTTATTCTCCCTCGCATTATAGGTAAGTACATAAGTGGTTTTGCTTGCATTGTGATAAATAGAACTGTGTCTCGTAACCATGGCTTTTCTCCACTGTACCTGAAAATTGCAGCAATGGCACCTGGGACATTGGTGGTTCGTGCGCTGGCCAGCGAGATCCACTGACCACTAATGTCCACTTTTTTGGTGAAGAGTACTCATGGATGAACGCGATGATTGCGAAGATGACGGATGGTATTAGGAGCCACGGAAGGAAGGCAAGGTTTCTGAACATTACTCACATGACGGAGCTCAGACCGGATGGCCATCCGTCAGGGCACCGGGAGCCGGGAACGCCGCCGGGCGCGCCGGAGGATTGCAGCCACTGGTGCCTCCCGGGCGTGCCAGACGTTTGGAATCAGGTCCTCTACGCACACCTCTTGTCCACAGGGTATGACAAACGCATGAAGGAGAGATAATTAGTCGTATTGGTACGTACGTGTAGATTAGTTGCACCGTCTTAGTATGGTTTCCTCAACTAAAATAGGCTCCTTGTACTACTACAATTACTTAGTTTTATAATGATTTTGAATATATCTCAATTACTTAGTTTTATAATGATTTTGAATATATCTTTCACTATTTCTTCTTAATGAAAAACTTGTGCCCCGACGCATGTTCGCGGAAAAAAATATATCTTTCACTATTAGTTCTGTGCTGGTACGGTATACGTTCTCTTTGCAAACTGCCCCAATATATATTTACATATCACAAAGTGTATCAGTAAAACATACAAAAGAATCCTCACAAAAAAAGTACAGAAGAATTTATTATGATCGAATTATTTAATTAAGAGCAAAGTATATAATGCACCGATGTATTGGTATTTTAGATTAAAGTTTGCAGATTACATGAATGTGCACGTACTGCGCATATCTCAGCCGATTATTATGTTTCTTGTAGTTGAACTTATCCACTGGGTTTAAGTCACTACAGGAAACAGTGACAAAAAAAACACTCAGCAAAAGATTTGTCGAGTGTAGCAAAAGATTTACCGAGTGTAACAGTCGACAAACAGCGCACGTCATCTACAGTGTCGACAAACGTCTCTTTGCCGAGTATTTTCTATCGGGCACTAGGCAAATACTTTACCGAGAGATGAAACCGATGCTCGACGAAACAAAGTAATGCGACGGCGCGGAGACGGTCACGGCCCGTTTGCCGAGTGTCCCGGACCTGACACTCGGCAAACCTGAATTCTTTGCCGAGTTCCAATATCTGACACTCGGCAAATATGCCTTCTTTGCCGAGTGTCAAATCCCGGGCACTCGGCAAACCTGTCATCTTTGCTGAGTGTCAAATACTGGACACTCGGCAAAAACTAGCCCAGAACGTACAAATGTTGGCTTTTTTGTCGAGTGTTAAAATTCTTTGCCGAGTGTCCAATATCTGACACTCGGCAAACATGTCTTCTTTACCGAGTGTCAAATCCTAGGCTCTCGGCAAACCACTCGGCAAACCTGACATCTTTGCCGAGTGTTAAATCCCGGCACTCGGCAAACCTGCCATCTTTGCCGAGTGTCAAATACTGGACACTCGGCAAAGACTGGCCTAGAACGTACAAATGTTAGCTTCTTTGTCGAGTGTCACAGTGCAGACATTCAGCAAAGAAGCCATTTTAGTCCCAGAATGCACAGATTTTGGCCACGTGTCCTATTTGCCGAGTGTTTTTACTCTGGCACTAGGCAAAATGCCTCTTTGCCGAGTGTAACACTCGGCAAAGCGATCATATATTTTCTGTTTTTATTGTTCGGTCACGTATAACGTACCCCACTTAAATAAACATTACAAGCATCACACATAGTTCACAATAAGCATCACCGGTAGTTCATATAGATATATCGACAACACATAAATGCAAATAAACTTTAGAATCACTAGTAGGTTCATTCACAACCACGAATAATCACAAGTAGTCACAGGTAATCCACAAATACAAATGCAAATAAAATTACAAGTAGTCACTTAGGCCACGAGTTCCACTGCGACCACGCTGGGTCATGAGGCTCATTCGATGCCGCCGATTGATGCTGCATAAAGGAGAAGAGATTGCATGTGTGAGACAAGATTGAACAACACGTATGGTCTCTCTGCTGCCTAACTAGTATAACCCTTGCAACTATCAGCAATATCTTCTCAGTTGCGTTGTGCTCTAGTACGATTGCTTAAGTACTAGTTGGTAACAAACATATAGTATTAGTCACTAAGTTTCTAGTGTCTGGGCATCTTTGTAAGATTGATTCTGCATAAACTATAAACGGTGATTATGAGGTTGTAAAGTGACTCACAGTGCCTGAAACAGTATTTGGAGCAGATTGATGAGGAGGGACTGACATCGGTGGCGGAGGTTGACCGATTGCAGCGTAAACACCTCTATCTATTCAAACATCTGCAGCTCCATCCTCTGTCGCTCGACCTCCATCCTCTGCCGCTCTGCCTCCGCCCACTGCCGCTCTGCCTCCATCTTCGCCTCTAGCTCCTCCCGACGCCTTGTTTCTTGTTCCAGCTAACCCTATAATATTTCATCCCAATGTTATAATGCAATACAAAAGTATGTAAAAATCAATGAACGATGAATAAAACATAAATAACCTAGAGTGCGTTCATCTGGAACCGTGTAGAGTCCGGTCGTGGGCGTATCGCCGGGCTGGAACGAGTGCTCCGTGCTCGAATCTAGGAGAGAGTGGCATTACTGGCCGTGTCGATTGTGGCATCGCCAATCCAGAACTGGCCATGCTTCTTGCCTCCTCCCGCCCTCATGACCACTTCTCCATTAAGGTCATGGGCGCTTGGATCGTACTCTGGCCCATGGACCACCCTTGCCATTGATGTGTATCCATCGAGGCGGCTGTGGATGGACTCATTGCTATACGCCGAGGGCGGGTCCTCCCGGTTGTAGGCGACGTCGGCCGTCGCCTTGCCCTTGTGGGCCAAAGCATATGCCATGAACTGGGAGCAAGGCTCACCACCATGTGCAGCCGACTGTAGAAAAAGCAATATGATTAGAAATTATGTAGAATTGAGCATTAGAATAAAGAAATGAATTCGCGTACCCATCTAGCCGGGTATACTAAGAGGTTGAGGTTGCCTTGATGGTGTGGTGCACCCGGCATCAGCAAACGCCGCTCCCGGCAAGCGTTGTTATTCTCCTCCCATGCGGGGTCGCACCACCTGTCCACCATCCGGGCCCAGCACTACAGATCGTAGGCGCACCACCACAGAGGCACCTACGTCATCAAGTATATGACATATAAGAAGATGAAATTAAGCGTAATTAATCTTAGAAAAAATAAGTATTAATGTTCTATATTTACCTTCAGGTATTGTTCCGGGGTCAGACTCATGGTTCTTGCCGCACTTTTAGGGAGCCTCTCTCTAAGAATTTCCTCGTGGTATTAGATCACGGCTAGGATGCGTGCCTCATAGTGCATATCCTTGACGAGTTTCTTGGCGGCTTTGTCAGCCATAGCATCCGCCTTGGCCTCATATCCCTCCTCACATCTAAAGAAATCATGCATATAGACGCGATGTATCCAGTCATTTTTTCAAGAATGTCCAATCAATGCGATGTATTAAGCAATATAGTGCGAGAAAGACTTACCCAAAGCTCGGCCTTGACACGCTGCGCCTTATCGGTGAATACCCTACCATCTCGATCAGAGGTGTCGGGGACGGCGAGATGACGTGTAGGCCGACTCGACAGTTCTGTCGAACTACACCAGGCCAGGGAACTTTTTCCTGATCAAAAGACCAAGGATGCTGTTCACATGGCGTGCGTGATCACCCCCACCGACCTTCCTCCAACCCCTGCCCAAGTGCTTAAGATAAATTATTAGTTTCTATTGTAATTTTGAACATATCAAATGAAAAATTAGTGATAACATATAAAGTTACTTACTTGTCTCCATCGGGTTGAATTAGCGGGCGTCTCTCAAGAGGTATCGGTCGCCTCAGAAGGGTCGAGGGACCTCGCAACCACACACCCGACGAAGTAGAGGAAGAGGTACCCCCTGTCTCCTCCACCCCTGCCTCCTCCTCCACCTGTACCTCCTCCTCCTCAGAGGATGAGTGAGCGGAAGGTAACTCAGACGGCGATGAAGGTACAGGTGATGGTGGCCTCATCTTGCCTCCACCCTTCCCTCGACCCTTGGGTCTACCCCGAGGTCTCTTCCCGGACCCCTCAGCTGCATTAGATCCTTTATGCGTCGTTGTCACTTTTGAGTAAAGCGACGTTATCCTCCTTATACCGCCCACCATTGTTCAATCACCTGCAATTAAAAAGAGTAAATCAATTAGCATAGATAATACATCAAAATAGATGCAAAATAAACAAAACATACTTAGAAAATAACATGGTATGATAAATAATAAATCAATCAGCACGGATCATACATGTATTAGAAATAATCATCATGATCGGGATTAGCTAGATCATAAGTCTCATCATCACTATCACGCATGTCGATATAATCATCCCCGTGCTCCAAAGGAGGAATGTCATCATCATCGTCGTTGCTTAGATGTAATCGCTGAAGTAATTCCAAGTCCTTCACATTCTGAACCTCTTCTCCGGCATCCTTGTCAGCACCACTTTCATTGTCTACTTCCATACCCTGAGCTTCGGTTAAGTCTATCTCAAAACTCCCTTCGAGCCCATCTTCTTGAAAGAACTCTCTGTCATATGTGTTGGGGTTTATGTTGTAATCTTGATAGTTTGGGACATGCAGTTTACCGTGTGGCGATACATTGTACACAACATCCCAACCCTTAAGATGGTCTACAGTTTGGCATGGGTATGAGAGATAATAAACTTGTGTGGCCTGTTGAGCCACAATATAGACATCGTCTCCTGGTAAGACGGATGATCATCGAATTTCGACTAGCCCAAGATTAGGGGTCCGCCTCACTACTTTAGGATCAAACCAATGGCATTTGAATATAACAGGATTAAGAGGTTTGCAACCATGAAACATGAGTTCATATATTTCTTCAATTCTCCCGTAATACTCAACCCCATATAAGCCTTGCGTAAAAACTCTAGTATTTGTGGTTCTTCGATTGGGGCGACTCTGCTCATGGCTTGTTGTGTGAAAGCAATATCCATTCATGTCATAACTGGTAAATGACCTGACCCTATAGGCAAAACCATTGGCAACCTATCTCAACTCGGCACTCATAGACGCATCGGTTTGTCCCTACAAGTTCAAGCAGGGTAGTTCGTTATATTAGTCGCACGTATGAGCAACTTGTAATGTCAAACTAAGTATGAGCCAAATTAGACAGTACCTTCTGTTTGAACCAAGAAATGAAATCAGGCATTCCATTTCTCGCACCCTCTCTAAGAAGGGTCAAAGTTTCCTGTGGGGTAGGTTCCCTTGATTCACGCCAGAACTGTTCATGAAATTTCCTGTACCAATGA